CCACACTCCTGGTGCCGTGCAAATATTCCAGGCGCTGTGCCAGGAAAAACAGCAGCCACAACCAGCCGTACCAGGAGCCCCCGCTGAAAACCTCTCCTCCTCTTCTCTCAGGACTGCGACGACACGCCCTGGATTCCCCAGCTGAGGGCAAAGTCAAGCTGGGCCCCCAAACCCCAGTCACCACCCTATACCTCAAACCTGGTTTCCAGTACCACAGCTTGGCCTATAGAGGGAGCCAGAGAGCTGCAACTCCCCTGTCCACAGCCTTGCTGCAGCTCCACACTGCCACACCTATCAGAACGCATTCCTGAAGGTTTAAAATGCTAAAATACATATCACAAGGCTACTACTATCAATACTACTGTAGTTTTTCCCCACTTTCTTTTCCTTCTTCTTTGGTGGTCACACGAATTTCAAAACAGGGGTTTACATTTTACCCTGTTAACATAATTATGACGAATCTTCTAATGTCACGTTGGAGTGGAGTTTACTTAAACTGTGTATATGCTTAATGCAGTGCTGAATTGAACAATGCCTAAAACATTTGAAATTGATAGTACTTCCAACCACCTAAGGTATATTTTCATATCGTCTTCTAATCATTAGGAAACAATGTGAGAAAAGTTAAAATTTACTAGATTTACTAGAAGTACATGCAGGAAACGATTTTGATGGGTTTTAAATGAATTAACCCATGTTCTGTGCTGTTAAGCTGATTTTAGGATGCTGTTCTCTTAAAAGAAACTGTCGTCACACAGCTAGTTCCTTCCAACAGGATCTGAAACACTTCAAGGCAAACTTCAGCTGAGTTTAAGCTTCCCCTGGTTCGTGTTATAATCTTTCTTACTCATTCCGGCTATAGACAGCACACTGTTGAGCTTACACTTAAGTCTGAGCAATGATTTGAGAACCGTGAAAGACACTACACATATGAAAGAGTTCTGCTACCTCTTTCTACTGCCAACTTTGCTTTGGAAAGGAAGCAATTGCTTCAGTCTCTGTGTTCATCACGGCTGGATTCAGGGCACACTTTATCAAAAGGAAGATTATCATCTTCTTGGCTAAAACACAAAGTGATGCTTTTTTTGCTCAGGGTTGTTTCCAGGAGTAAAAAAAAATCTACCTTCTCTGTCCCACACACAACCAATATGGGGGTGCATAAAAAGTTCGGTCATTTAAAAAAAATCTACTATAGGGCAATGAAATTGGTCTGCACACAGATGTAATGAGGGCAGTACACACCAGAGAGCGCACACTACATGGGGGTGAACACCATTTGTGTCCACGATGGAGAATAACACCGTAGCTGACGGCACAAACAGTTTCAGCACTCAAGAGGGCAAAAGGCTTTCAGAAGGAATTTCACATCTGTAAAGATACCAGGCGCTGTCCAGCACGCAACCAACTTGAGAGCGGCCCCAGAGTTGTTTAAATAGATAATGGGGGATACTGGCTGTTATAATCTGAATGTTGGGTTTTGAAGAGAATTTACTTACTTGCTAGCAGCTGTATCACCCTGAAACTCAAAACTGGCAGCCCACTGGAGCTCAGCAGGTGTGAGCCTGGCCAGTACCTGAAGGGGAGACCTCCTGGGAAAGCTGAGGTTGCTGCTGGATGAAGCGTTAGAGGGACCAGTAGGAGGCGCTCACCGGGGACACTATAGTACAAAAAGGCCCTGTCCTTCAGAGATGTAAAACCCAAGGTCCTGACTCTCTGTGGTCATTACAAAATCCCAGGGTGTTTCTCGAACAGAGTAGGGGTGTAAATTTGGCGTCCTGGCCAAATTTCCCATTGGCATTTATCAATCATGGCCTCTTAATTATCCCCATAGCATCATCCAGGTGGGGCTGCACACTGGTGGTGGTGGAGGGGAGTCCCCATTACCTGTACAGCGCTTTAAGTAGAGTGTCCAGAAAAGTGCTATATATGTGTAAGGAATTAATATTACCATTATAAAAGAATCAAGACTATTTTGCTTTATATACAGTTTTAATTCCGGAGCTTGGCTGCTGAGGTTTAATGAATAAGCCCCTTTGTGTAGCAGCACTGTTAGGTACCTTGTAGCTGAAGCCTGACTGTATTACTGACTCCAGTCTAAAGCCATCTTAAATACCGAGTGCAACTTTGCAGCACAAACACCCTGGCAGCTGTAGGTGTCTGAGGGGCTGGGAACCACAGTCCGTCATGCCACAGGAGCTGAGCTGAAGACCACTCAAAGCTCTTCTGCAGAGACCTGTGAACTGCCTGAAGAAAGCAAGCTGATGAAGGTAAAAAGCTACACGGGGACACACTCTAAAACCTAATAAGACATGATCAATGTTACTTCATTTCGCAAACGTGCCTTCTCATCTGTGCGGCAGAAATAACTGAACTCTGAAAGGGGGTTCAAGCATGGATTCATCACACGAAGCCTTCGTGTAGGATGCAGTCCTGTGCGAAACCTCAGAGAGGAAACGCTTGGCTTCCGGCCAACGATGGAAAGAAAGTCTTGTTGTTTTGGGTTTTAATTTTCCACGCTTACAAAGTGCACAGAGTTTCAAACTCTTCCTGCTCGCCCACCCTGCCTCAAAGCCTGCAGACGAACAGAGGCCGTCTGCCTCGGGCTTCATCATCCGAGCTGGAGAGCCCAAGAACGAGACCCTTCTGACCCCCGGGTCAGAGGAAAATACAGAGAAAAGGGGGAATGTCTTCATGGGATGGGAAACCATAGATGACATGTGTGGGAGGACAGGCGCCCTGGAACGTGCTTAACTTTCAGGGCTCGTCATCAATCCTGTGCGCGAAAAAAAGAGAAACATACCGCAACACTGACTCACAGTCGAGTGTGCATGAGAATTCACTGGGTACAGTGGATCTGCGAATGTGTGTACGTATTCCTTCAAGTGCCCGTGTGTCGATGAGATTATTTCTCCTTCAGGGTATCTGTGAAAGGGGAATGGTTATGGATTAAATGAGAAATTCAACTCTGCCTGCCATTACAATCCTGGTAGCCACCAGTGATTTTATACCAGGCTTGTATTCTCTGACTGGCAGATGGGCCATTACTGGGAGTCTCTGCGAGACTGATTTGAAGAGTGACACTACAGCTCAGTGGTTCTCAAACCCATCGGTTTGAACCAGGTGGGTCTTAACTCTCCAGTGGCTTCAACTGATCGCTAGTTTAGAATTTGTCTGCACTCAGGCCTTTTTTTCATGCAACTTGGAAAATCCTCTGTTTTTTAACTATTAATTGTTTGTGGAGTCAGAGGCACCTGTGGTCTCTTTTTTTATAAAGGATGTTAGTGTCTTGCTAATTTAAGAAGTCCTATGTTTAAATGTAAAAGCACATAAAATGTAGTATCTCCTTATATACACTAGAAATGATACACATATACACATACAATTTCATGTATACAATTACTTTTTTTCTTTTTTACATACAATTTCATTTTGTTCTGTGGATTATGGCAAAAGTCCTGCATTTCATCTGGAAGAGTAAAAATCAATTCAGAGTATCAAAGTTTCATTCTCAACGTTTTCTTCAAATTTAAGTCGAGGAAGGGTAACATTTTGAAAAAGAACAGACAGCAGTGGAAAACGGTTTAACTCAAATAACAACGTACTGCACCTCAAGACAACAAGAACAAACCAAATGCATTACACTCTACTTAAACCTGTTCCAATGAAAACATTTTTTTTTTAAATTCCTTTTCAAACTATGAGGTGGTCATTAATTCCTAATTGCTTGTAGCAGACAAAGGAAGGGTTTAAGAAAAATAAACTCAGCTCTTCAGAGTTGACATTCCAGCAGTTAACTTAACAGGCAGAGTAGAGCAGCTTTTCCTGTGTAGCAATTCTTTCCTATCAAGGTTTTACAATGCTGTGCTCTCCAGAGAGTGCCTACAGGCTATCTTTAGCACAGTGCCAAGCCCTTTTCAATTTGTCTTAACCCTTCCAGGACCTGGACAGAAGAGACAGTACTTTCAAACGTGCTGTTACACTAGAGCAGGCATGTGCAGATCTGGGCCTCATGAGCCAGTCCAGCTGGTTTTCTAGGTTACCTTTAACTCATCTATGACTAGAGCTAAAAAATTAATTATTAAACAATTAATTTAACTGCCATTATTAAATGGATGGTTTCTTCAATTAAGTGATTCTGAGATCATCTTAAACACCTTCCACAAGGAAGAGAGTTCCCCCAAATTGAACTTGCGTAATTGATTAGTAACTTACAGGTTGGTCAAGATGATCTATAAGTGTACTGGACTGGGGATCTCCAGGACTGGGGTGGGAGAACCCTGATTCTCAAGCATGGATCAATCAAACGCGACCTCAAAAATTGATTTTTCAAGGATGATTTTCCAAAGCATTTAGATGTTTTCTCGGGAACAAGGTTACGTTGTCATCATCCCTCCCAGATACCCACATCTCCGTCTCCTTAGGTTTTGTCAATTAATGTCAGTTTTTAACAGGTAAAAGTGAATCAGCTTTCAATAGCCGTTTTAACATTTAAGAAATGTACTCTACACCCAGTCATTCTGTCATAATAAATCTGCCCCTTCTTTTTGTTGACATTATATAGGATATTTCATTCGTTTGTCATTTTCTCCTAGAAATGACTGGTTCATTTGCCCAGTGTGCACCTCCACACTAACCACGCCTGTCATGTTTTGCCATCAGCCAACTTTTTTTATTACACATTCGATTTTGAATCCCCAATTGTTTCCCGACTCTCTGGCAGTGATTGCTGAGGTTAGGGCTGGCAGAATAAGCCCAACCTCACAACTGCAGCTCCCTGCCAACTGGGCACCACCAATTAGGTTACATAAATGCTTTAATGTCTTCTAGAAAAAAAAAACCCAAAGCTGTGATAAGCCACCTCTGTAACATTACAAAATCTCAACGGGAAATGAGTTATGAATATGAGTGCTATTTCTCTCTCTAGGGTATCAAGATGTTTCAGGAACCCTCACAGGCTTGGGGAAAGGCCGCGGTAACTGGCTCCGCGGTCCCTCACTCACCAGTGCAGACGCAGGGCGTGCAGAAAGGCGGACAGTCCCTCCATGACCAGCAGGATGGCCACGGTGAGGGTCGCGAAGGCCGCGAAGATGAACAACAGGCCAAAGAAACCGCCGTAGCTCCGGACAGACAGGCCGATATGCATCACCATAGTCCACAGCACCTCCGACAGCTCTGTGCGAGGAGAGAGAGAGAGAGGTCAGAGACGCCAGAGCTTAATGCGCTTAAACAGGTCAACACAGAAGAGATGAAGATAAGAACCAAGCCTTCTCTGAAATGAATGTGGTCAGGCCATTTGCTCCTTTCAACGCACGGTGGAAAAGGAGACCTCTTGGCGGCAACACTGTAAGCTCACACATGCCCGACAACTCCACAAGCATCACTGCTGCCTATCGACCTGATGCCTTGACTGATCGGAACGACATATGTGCCACACTAACCCTAACCCTAACCCAGTCACAGTCGGCTAATTACATAGCCCAGAATCTAACCACCAATCTGTGAGAAAACAGGATGGATCTTGCACTCCAAGCCTGCTGCGTGTTTTAACCGGTGTTTTACAGTGAGTTGTGTGCCGCTGCAGACTTACGCGCATGAGCCAGACTGAGGGCCCAGAGCCGCAGGTAGGAGGCAGTGTTGGAGATGCAGCCCAGGCAGTACTCGATGGTGTGGATGGCCTGGTGGACCACGGTGTCGGTGAAGTCAAACTGGCGGGAGAGAGGAGAGCTCGAGTCAGTGCCTGCCTCACGAGACCGCACACAGCCCACTCTCCCTGCCCGCTCGCACAGATACAACCTTCCAAGACTGCCGTCCAGAGTGAGCACTAGACCTGGTCAGGCTACCAGCTGAAGTTATCCTGATTTCTGTAATCAGTTGTAAGGGGGTTATAAAGTGAGAAACAGCACTTCCACACGGTGTTAGCTGAACAAATAAAACACTGATTTAGCAGTGATTTGCAAAGCATGAACACCTGCCCAGATCTACAAAACTTGAACAGATATTTCAGATACGCCTTTTCATAAATCCCTGTTTAATAGCTGTAAGCGCTTTTGTTTTTTAATGATGTTAAATATTTTCAACATTCAGAAGCACTTTGTAGTGGAACTAATGTCCACCTCTTGCACCCTCCTTAACTGTGCCTATTTAGCATTTCATTTTATTTTCACCCAGGGCCCTGATCTCGCTACAACTCCAAAGATTGACAGAAGCGCAAATCCGAATTTCAGAAAAGTTTCATATTCACCAATTTTATTGTTCAGCTTAGAAATATGACGAGTACAGGTTTTAAGCCCATGAAACATTGTGCTGGTTGTTTGGTCAAGCGAGAACTGCAGTTGTATTCACAGGGCTTTTCAAGGACTAACACCGAGACTCTGTGAACCCTCAATAACCCCAGGAACGCATAAAAAGGTTTCAAAGCTAAATTACAGCCCTAGAAACCTCTCTTTTTTCTGTAAACCTTCTTTCAGAAGTGACTCAGGAAGAAGAGGTATACATCTGTCAAACAGAGTTTTTAAAGGTAAGACATGGTGTGTACCTCAGGAAGCCAAGTTTAACTTCAAAACACAGGAACCTACTGCCCATTGTGACTGATTTAAAAGGTGTTGGAAACAATTCAAGTTTCCTCTTTCCAACCTGTATGCTTTTTTTCTGCTTCAAAACTACAACGAACAACATTAATGTTCTTAAAAACTAACACATTTACTTTGTTTGATCTCCTTTTTTTGACAAAGGTTCTTTTTAATGAAAAAAAAATTGACAATGGTGGAGCATGCAACGTTCACTTATTTTGTCTTGTAATACCAGAGGAAGACGATTCCTGCTAAATCCTACGGAGCAAACCGTGATGGGAGAAGATGCTAAAATCATGAATCAATCCATGACAAGTTTTACTTCAACGTCAGTCCAGCCTCAAACTCTAGTCTCAAGCACAAAGCCGAGCGTGCAAGTAAGTGAAACAGTGTGAGGGAGGAGACTGGTGGAACTGATGCAACAGGAAGTTATTGTCAGACATACTGTGCGCTGCTTTGACAACCACAAGTAATGTTCAAGTCATTTACAAATGTGCATTTTGACATTGCTATTTAAAACAATTCTCAAGCTTAATGCTAAAAACTGGATATTTTAAGGAGAGAAAAATGGTTTGGGCAATCACACCCCTTCCCAAGTCTTAACTCCTTAACACACACCTCTGAACGTATATCATTAGTAAGATGATTATTGCACTGATTAACACAAGAGCAATTTCACTTTCATTGACACACGTCTGAGTCATCACTGCTGAAGGAAAACCCATTCCCACATCACCCACTGTGTAAACACACCCAAACACAGTGCTCTGCTCCTCAGCAGAGTGTTACAGTAGGGAAAGACAATGGATGAGTGATAGAACACAGCAGACAGACCCACATGCACACCCACAGACAAACATGCTCCACACACATGCTGTAGGTCTTACCACTTCGTCATCAGAAGGCTTGAAAACAATACAGGTTAAGTTTAGTGCAGTGTTCAGGAAGAAATGCGTTAGTTATGAGAACAAAAGGTATCATGAAATATATATATAAAATCTAGAACTAAGACCATGCTGTGTCTGAAGGGGTGCGCAGATTTGGTCAGAATAATTATGAAACAAATCTAGTACTTTTTACAATTAGTTTTTTATCCCTCCCTTTATGGATTTGCTTATTTTTGCCCGAGTAGGGCCGCTGCTACTGTATAACACTCAAGGTGGTTCAACAGCGCTGAACGCCAGCGCTCTTCCTCTTAATGTGCACTTGAAGGCCATTCAGTTCTTTTTAGAACACGAGTCCGTAGCACCAGCAGCAGCCACTCTGAACAGGAGGACAGATGCAGCCCTCCTTCACAGCACTGCATAGTCAGAGGTACCTAGAAAAACACAGGGGGTCGCTGATGGGTAGAAAGCAGCGCCCCACCCAACATCTGGCACTGCTCAGCTGATTATGCAACCACTCCCGAATGTGGAATCACATTCACAGTCCTGCAGTGGTTGTAGCCCAGGCATGTGTAGGCTATGGGAAAGCACATGGTCTACTCAGTGAACACCTTTAAGTGTTTAGCCACACACAAGCCTGTCCCAGTGCGCAGCTAAGCATCTTTAAATAATCTGTTTTGTATAAGGCCTTCATTGATTCAGAGAGCAATCAGGGCCAGATCGGCGAAGCCGGTTTCCACTGGGAACCGAATGTAAGACGGATTTCTGGAACTTTGCTGTTGGAGCGCATTCTTGCGTGCCAGGCAGGTACAATTCAACCTGGTGCCCTCTGCTGCGCAGTTATGTTACAGCTCAAGTCTTGAGAAACTTGACCAAGCAAAAAACAAATAAAAAATGCATTGTTTACACATATAGAACAAGTCACCACTTCTTGGAGGATGAAGTTTATCTTATAAGATGAACCTGCTGGCTTACTCCACCTAAAAGCCTAAAAATAATCCTCTGAATCTTGAAACAGGATGTCGCTAAGGAAGCGAAAAGGACTCTGAAACAATGACTCCGTGGGGGATCTTAAATTCAAGGAAGCACAGAGCCTTCCATTACGGCCCAGTTGGACCAATTTAACTACGGGTGCACAATGTATCGGAGGCCGATATACATTATTCTCCGATAAATCTGAAAAATTAATTATTATCGTTCCGATTTTGGAATTACAGCCAATAATGACAACCGATAATGCGGCGCCCTATTTCTGTTTGCGCCACTATTTTTTTTTCTATGTGCACGCACTGATCCACTCGACTGGGTACAGTACAGCTGTTGCAGAGTGAAAATGTTGGCGGTGTGGAACCTTTTCACCAATTTTTAATCAATGATCCATCTTTACCGAGTTTTAGCTTTCTTACCCTCATTACACCTCAGCTGTGGATGATAGTGTGAGCTTGTTTTAAAATGCAAAAAAGTAAAATGATCGGTTATCGGTTTCTGTATTGGCCACAACAAACTGTTCATTATCGGTTATCGTTATTGTATATCGGTGCATCCCTAAATGTAACCATGCTGGACAGGTTCGAAACTGCTGATGAATGAAAGGAGAGCCACAAGATTGGGTGGAGCGTTGCTCGATTTGGGGTTCCTATTATTGTTAAACTCATCAAATCCGTGAGAAGGACTGACATGGTGCAGGGGGTTGCAGAGTTGTGCTGGGCAGGCAGCTCAGCCACTGTGCCCAGTCCTTCCATCAGAGTGCTGTCTGCCTGCACAACCATTCGGACCCCAGCACTGACCGACAGCACACAGCAGAGAAACCCAGCAGAATCCATGAAGCATGGTCGGGGGGTTACATTTGTGCAGCCCTAATCTCACATGCTTCCAGCCCAATTCAACTGTGTGCAACTGGAAATTCACTCAAACAGAACGGGAGCATCCGCAGGGAACAGGCAACCGATGCCTGTTCCTCCCGCTGGCTTCCCATTGCTGCTGCAAATTCATTCTCTTGTTTCATGGAATGAATTCAGGAAATTCAGTTGCTTCAAAACTTCATGCAGCCAACCACTTCTCAAAGGTCATTGAACTGAGCATTTATTTTTTAAGGCGAAGACCAAACTCTGCTCTAAAGCGCCAGAGAAGCAAGGGGGTATTCGCTGTACTTTTCCTTCTTGTGATTCTTTGAATCTGTACTTTTCGTCATAACAGACGCCAAGTCTAAAGCAGAACTATAGTGCTACTTAAAACAAGAAAAAAACAACTCCTAAGCCTCTGAAGCGCTTTTAAAGCTTATATATGAAACAAAACAGTGATCCTCCAGTGTAAATTTTGTAATCGATGGATGTCTGGCAGCTTCTATGTAAGTAGTGTACATGCTGTCAGCTCTTGTACCCAAATCTGGAGGTTGAGTTGCAGGAAACTGCATACTGCTCAAAGATTTTCCAGAAAGAGGATCACTCTGATTGTTTTATATAGTTTTTAGAAAACGAGGCAAAGTGAAACGCAACAGGCAAGCCCTTTTTAACAGCAGTAATACTCAGCCCGTGTGTCTTTCTCCCAATTTTCCTGAGCTTGTGTCTATTTTGCCTGCACAGCAACTAATGACGCCGAACTGAAGAATGACCCTCGCATGTTTAAAGAACCCTAAAATGTGATATATCCTCTCGCTGAAATGGAAAATGAAAAGTGGCCTACGCAAAGCCCACGATCTTCAGTAAAGTAACCTGCTGGCAGAGCAAAGTAAAGCACCCATAGCTGAATAATTCATGGTTATTCCGGCAGAACCCGAATGGGTTTTGTATGTCTCTTGATTGTCTAGTCTAGCAGAGTAATGTTTTTTTAAAAGAAAAACAGCACATTCTGCATTTCTTTCAATTGTCCACTATCCATTCATGATCATTTAATGGTGATTTATAATATGCAGCACTGCATTTGAACATTAACAATCTCAAACACTTGTAAGCAAAACTAGATAGCTGATAGTCCCAATTTGTTTTGTTTTTTTATTACTCTCAGGTTGTTTAGTACCCAAAGCTCTTTCCCCAAATTTACAGTTTCTAAATGGTAATTTATCTCCGATACATAACGGATTTTTGGTTCTGCTTAAAAAAATATATGTTTGTGTGAGAGAACTCGCTTTTACAGTCTTCCACCGAAGACTGGAAGTCAGTCTCCCCAAACAAAAGTACTGTGAATGAAGCAAACCAAAAAAAAAACTGTTAAGCTTACTGCCAGCGTGATGAAAAAGAAAATACACTCAACACGTTCATAAACACCACTGAGTGAGAATGATCTCGTCAGTATAAATTATATACAGTGCGCCGCAAATGGAAGGGATTTTAAACAGTTTAAACGTAAAATAAACAGGTCCCTTCAGTTTATGTTAAAATCCGTTACACTGAACACGTACTGGAAATGGTCATACAAAACCAAACAGTGCAGAAACAGCAGTCCTTCTTGGACACTTTGAATACACTCCCCCCTTCCTTCAGAACCGTTCCTGTAACTGCCCAGGAGGTCGGACAGAAACCTGTCTTTCGGGGTGCTCCACCCCCACTGTCTGAAGGGTTTTGTTTAGTGCGCTGCCCTCCAGACAGAGCAAGGCAAATGAATGTACTCTAACAAATGCAAAAGCCTCAGCTGAAGCGAACACAGATGCAGAAGGGCGCAGCAAGCGCTTCTCGGAGGCGGAGGCGGCGGCGGGGGGGGACGCCAAGCGCTCGAATCGTACGGAACCCCCGTCTCCGCTGGCGCCCCGCCGGGCCCTCTTCCGCAGCAGCGGCGCGATGCGCGCAGCCGGTTTAAGCAAAACTTGCGAAAGCCGGGCGGCGGCGGCAGGCACGGGAGCGAGCGAGCGGGCGAGCGAGGCGGGACTCACTTCGTTCTCGTCTTCCGAGTGGGTGGAGAGCTGGTCGTGCTGGATAATTTCGGCGTCCTCTTCTGTCGGGCCGTTGCCGACGCGGATCCCCCCAAAGTTGTGAGTGCCCTGGAAGGGAAGAGGAGCACTGCAGTGCTGCAACCACACAGCTCACGGTTTTCTTTTTTAAACTGATGACCATATCCCATAATATTCTATCCTATTACCCCCTCCGCAGGGCAACGTATTTGGGGCAGACAACGACAATGCCCGTAGTGCAACACAAACACACAGCAGAAATGCAATTCAGGTAAATACAATAATAATTATCGGATATGAAGGCCTGCTCAGTGGTACAGTGATCAGCACTGCTGCCTCACAATGCTGGGACCCTGGGCTCAATTCCAGAACTGGGGTGCTGTCTGTGTGGAGTCTGTATGTTCTCATGGTGTTCAGGTTGGTTTCCTCCCACAGTGCAAAGGCATACTGGTGGGAAAATAGGGAACACAGGCCCTGGTGTGTGTGTGTGTGTGTGCCCCGTGACGGACCGATGTCCTGTCCAGGGTGAGCCCTGCCTTGCGCCCAACTGCTTGCTGGGATAGGCTCTGGCTCCCCCGCGACCCTTAAACTGGACAAAGTGGGTAGAAAACAGATGGATGAATTCCATAAACACACAAGAAAAGGGAACATGACAAGTAACAGTGTTGGATCCAAGAAGTAAGCCCGTTTAGAGCACCTCAGTTCGGGTGGCCTAAACTCCCTCTGCACTGAATTCCTCTGATTAACTGTGAATATGTACGTCAGAGCAGAGTGACTGGATTTTAAAGCTGCCATCATTAGATCGTATTTCACCTTCTGACAAAACAGGCCGAGAAGTTAAACGTGGGCCCTGCCGCCGCCCTGATTTCAGAGACAGAAATTGTCGACTCTGGCTGCTGACTGAAGGAACGGGGCAGCAGACCTGCCAGCCTAGGATGGAAACAGGTGCCCAGTGGATACATACCAGGTGCTTCCTCCTCAGGTACTGGCGTCTGAGCACCAGGGGTTTCACCACGAGCATCCAGGGGACACACAGCAGGGCCAACACCACCAAGAAGCACTGCATCCCCACCTGGAGAACGGGGAAAAAGAACGATGCAGAACAGCTGCTCAGGCCAGCCGGTAATAATAATGTCGGAGTCAGGGGATGTGTGCTGGAATTGTGTTTGCTCAGTCTGTAAACGTACTGAGAGTACATTGCTGGCTGGACGGTGATCTACAGGCCCTGAATACAGGTAGATCAGATAAAGGCTTAGAATTGACAAGTATTTTTCGCATCACAGGTACCCAAGCCTTGGGATAGTGAGAGCAGTCATGGGATCACAGGCCAGCCTTCTGCTCTGTGACTCCCACCAGCACTAGCTGCTTTACGATAATGGGTACATGAAGACCCCTCCCTCCCCCAGCTAATTTTGGAATAATCTATTTGCATCTTTCCATCTTGGGTCTCGGCAAGAGAATGAAGGAGAGCAGACTGGCCCTCCGACCTGTTTCCCTGTCCGCTCCACTGGGAAAAGGCATGGACAACAGCGAGCGGTAGGGCTTGGAGAGGCTCTTTCATTGTGCAAATCCAGCCCCAGAATCCACTTGCTCGGATTGATAAAGGACAATCACCCTTTTTTAAGAACTTTCGTAATAGAGATTGCAAGACGTTGCATGAGTGTGTACTTATTGTGAGATGTTTATTGTGAAATATAATAAAGTTTTCTCTCTGCTGGATAGTTGGCCGCTAGTGTGATCCAGACTTGAACCTGCAACACTTGGATCACATAGTTCAACCCCCGTTACATGGGGGAGTCCCTACCATATAGGACCTTTGACCATGTTACCACACTCTGGATTGCTCAGGACACAACAAGAATACCAAAAAACATCCTATTCGAGATCCAAAGCTTTGGAAATTAATGAATAAGCATTGATACATCGAGAACAAGTGGTGCACAGGGTTACCTGTCCCGTGTAGAGCATTTTGTTGCTCTTGTCGTTGTAGTTGAAGAGGAACATGTTGATGAAGTGGATGAGCAAGCTTGGGGCACTTTTGGATGTGGCAGCGTCGTAGGCCCCCCATTTGATAAAGATGAGGATCACCAGGTACCCGAAAAGGCTGGTCATGAAGATGATCTCGGGGATGAAACCCAGGAAGATGTTGAGGGGCTTCTTGAAATACCTGAACACCAAAACAATCAATCTCCTTTTTCACTCAGCCGGCAGTCGGATAAGATCCAGCACACAAACAAAACGGTGAGCCACACAGCAAAAACACAAAACAAAAGCCACACTGCAGCACAGAATTGGCCACAGCTGGCTTTAAAGGCAGTACGCACAGGTGGTTGAGGAGGCTGAGGGTGACGCCAAACAGCATGTGGATGATGCCGAGGATGACGGACATCTTCATCTTGAAGGAGTTGAGGAAGGTCAGCTTATTGGTGGCGATGTTCCAGATCTGGAAAACAGGTATCAGAAGGGTCTCACAGGATGGCAAAACCACATTCCCCTTCTCTAACCCAATAGAACTATTTTCTGTTCGCCAAAGGGACAGAGTCAAGAACCACCTTCTTTGCGCCACCATACACACTTCAGCCTAAACTAAAAACCACATTAACACCCTCCAGGGATTTGATCCATCCTGGCCATGACCAGTAAGTTACCATCAGAGCTGGCATTTGGTTTTAGCTGCACTTGAAGTTAGGCAGGAATCAGGACAAGAGACCTACCGGATCAATTCCTAAAGGATATGGTCCGTTGAAGACTCCCTTGATGGCCGGGTCCAGTTGCAATACTGGGTTACCTTTGAGCATCTCGGTTCTAGAAAGGGAATATAACATCCTTTGTGTGTCGTTTCATCTGTTCAAGAAGAACACTGGTCGGATTTCGCACAGCAAACCAGGAGAACATTGGTGAATAAACACAGAAGGACAGCTGAAAAATCCTGCAAGTAATTTCACACAGGAACAGAATGTCACTCTCAGTTCTGCTCCTTCAAATCTACAGAGACTGGTTAATGCTCTGGCCCTACAAACCCCTTAAGTTAAGGAATACGAACGTGGTTAATTATTTCATTCATTTATTTTAAGATTGAGGAAATGCGTCCATGTCGTGCCACAGCAGCTGGAAAAAGCCACCTTCCCTGGAGCGGGGACTAAAAGGCCGAGCAGCAAGGATATCACAAATGCCGTACCCGTTCCCGCTGGAAACTGCGCGAGAATCACCACGGCGACCGGAAGGCCCGTCAATCAACCGGTTGCCGTGACAACACGCTCTGGCACAAGAGATGAGTTGCACCTGTGCACAGTCAATCACCTGGCTTTTTAACACCTGCCCCTGCCCCTGCCCTGCACCGCCGCTCAGTCTTAGTGTTAACTAGTCTTGGCGTTACCCGAGTGCTCTGGCCGTGCTTCACTTGACCTCTCTTATGGATGCTCCTGTGCCACATTCCAGTGCTTTTCTATGATTTTGCTCACAGATTCCCCTGCGGCTGTGTTTTTGAGTTCTCTGCTTGTCTTTGAGCGTGTCTTTGGATGGTGTTTTCTTCAGCATGTTGCTTTCATGCCACCTCACCAACACTAGGACTCAGCCCACTGCCTCAGACCAGCGCCTTCTGATTTTCTAAAACTACTGGAGCTTTAAGCAATCATTTGTCAAGTTCCCATTCGTCAACTAGTAGGTATTTGCATTGAAATTGAAATCACCACCAAGGGCGATTGCTGGCTCTTGTACAGAAATGCTTCCTGACTGCTTGTATGTTCCCTTTTCAAACAATCAAAGGAGGTGTTATGGATATTGAGATCACTATCTGAACCTGAAAAGAGACCAAGACTAAATAATGGGTGCAGTAAGTGACAAAACAAACGACCCGAAACGCTGGAAGTGCTCACTTCTGACAACCAAGCTGAGCACTTCCAGCGCCCCTGTGTGAGAGCAGCTGGACTGGCGCGCCGGTCAGTGTAAACTGGGGCCACATCCCAGCGACTTACGTCCAGTTGGCCGTGGTGAACATGGGGCGCACGCTCCAGCCCGAGCCAAACATGTTGAGCGACTTGGAGAAGCAGTCGTTGTAGATCAGGCCCGTGTAGATGGAGAAGACCCCCATGAGGAGGATGATGTACCGGCCAGAAAAGATCATGTTGAACATCTGTGGACAGACAGGCGAGAAAACCGGCCGACATCAACGCAGTCAGCGCTCAGCCGTCGGAGCGACATCCCCAGAGACGGGATCGTCTTTCCACAAATATGGAACAATCAGCTTTGCTCCCCCTCTGAACAACTACAGCGGGATAATCATTATCCGGGTTGGGGACCGCAGCTTTTGAAAAATTAAAAATAATCACTTTCAGTTACAAATGATGCCAGCATCGAGCATCGTAACCAATTCCGAATTGGAAATGGTTATCCCCACATTTTTGTCGTTAATTTAAGAAAGTACTGCTTGCACGAGTATTTTATAGCTTCCCTCAATACTTATCATTATCTTATATTCAGTGACGCAATGGTACAAATGTTTATGTGTGCAGTTATTTTAAAACCAAGGAAATATGAATGATCATTCATTTAAAAAAAGTTTTTCATGCATTTATTGGAAGACAAAGGCTTTCCTTGATGGTTGGTGTGAAGGAGTTCTGCTCACTTGGTCATCTGGACAGCTGTATGGAGCTACGTTAAACACTGCATGTTCAAGGTGTTTTTTGTACATATGTGCTCTTTTCCATATTACTTTTGCACCTGGTGGTTCTCGGCTCTTGGAAAAACCTGGCAAAGTGAAGTTTGACTCAGCAGTTCCACACAGAACCCACATCCCAGGCAGCTCGTGGAAACAAGTGACTCGGCAGTTCTGGAGCTATTGTCAACTTTCAGCAGCAGGCCACCTAGAGTCCGTACCTCATTGTCGCTCTTCTGGGACAGGATTCGGCTTTCCCTGAGGATCAGCCAAACGGCAAAGCAGGTCATCAGGGCACCATGGCCACAGTCCCCAAACATGACGGCAAACAGGAAGGGGAAGGTGATGATGGTGTATGGAGCTGAAGGCATAGAGGGACATAACAGATGATAGAGGGACGATTCCTTTTTCCGTGATTCAGATCCAGTAATTAATCCTCACTAGACCCTAACTCTAGCCCTGAGGGTTAAGGGGGAAAAACAGAGGGAGGTCCTGGCCAACTGGTAGTGTTTGCAGATACACAGTGTCAAGTCCTCCACATTATGAAATCGATGGTATATTCAACCCTATATAAGCCCCCTTCCTCCCAAACCTTACTTAAAAAGAGCTGTATTGAAAAAGGCAGAACCGAGCAAACTGCAGGACAAAACATCTTCAAATACATTCTCCCAAAAAAATTATTAGTCAGTGAAGCCCCTACCTGTGTCAGCCCACCAAATAGACTCGGAGTGAAAGGCAAAAGAGGCCTCACCTGGGTTGATCTCCCTATAGCTCCCGATCCCATAGGCATCCACAATGTTCTGGAAACCGGACGTTAATTTGTTGGTCTTGTTGTAGGTGGGAGGCGTCTGCTTGGTCTGCATTCTGTTGAGGATAGAGGGCACCGTGGAGCCACTGCGCTCCTGGGGGAAGAAACGGCCATGCTCAGACATACTGTAGATCCCTCTATCAAATTAACTACAGTCTTCCCAAATATCCCCCTTTCTTTTTTTACTTTAAAGCATCGTGCAGTGACCTCCAGAAAACAGGTGCCTAGACCTGCGAAAAGCAGTGCCTTATATAGTCATTTTCAAAGCCCTGTCTGGTCATTTTTCTTAATCAGTTGTAATTAACTTCAAGAGAGCTGGAATCCAAATACTTAGCTCATTACAGTCTCTAATTGTTCTGGAACTAATGGATAAAATAACCAAAATCATAGTACAGCTACAGATGGACGTTTAATTTGACATATTTCCAATCAGAAAAAGTATGCTTAAGTCAGGCGAAGTGGAAAGAAATGAGATCCGAGCTATATTTTCCTTTCAATAATACATGGTATTGGGACACAGCTGCCTAAGAAACAAGACCCTAAGTAAACTCAGCTCTGTGCTGTGGTGCAAAGCTTTTTCAGGACATATCGGGGAAAACTATTCCCAGTAATCAGACATCAGCAATGGTACACTTTTTTCCCAGAATTTTCACACTGGTACTGCTGGTCTTCTAAATGAAAAACAGAGCAGGTGGGAGAATGAGTCTGTGAGAGAGAATTCCAGAACTATCTAAGGTCCCATAAACCTCCAGATTCTGACAACTCTCTCCCACCTTGACCTTTGACCTGAAGAATTCCACAGTGCAGGTCCTGGAACTGCTTGGGCTGAATTGGCTCCATCTGTAACCGTGGAATCTCATGCCTTCGGGAGTGAGCTCTTACATCTTACATTGTATATTCTGTGGTGCACATCACTGGTGGGAGACTGATTTAATTCAACCAATTAAATAACTCCTCCCAAGTCTTGGACTAGACATGAATAACCCACACACGCAGCAGATTGTCAGCAGCAGGACTGAATACCCCTGCTTCAACCAATAAACTCAAAGTCACCACAGCCAGGCCAGGTCACGGCTATCCTGACCCACAACGGTCTTGAACAAAAATTCAGAAGCTCCTCCGACACAATAGGTGTCCATGAGTATTCAGGGACATTGAACACTGATTCTTAATATCCAAATGAATCATGGTAATGAAGGCTTAAAGACGTAAATGTTCAAAACAGACAAAAGGATCTATGCTGTACTAAAAGCATACCTAAGATTATAGGACTGACAAGTGCGAACAAACAGATTATGCAGTGTCCAATAACTCATTAATTTTGGACAGAGGCCACAGATACTCCAGACATTTATTTGCAGCGGGTATATTATACTGCTGGCATGACCTTTCAAAAAAATGCAGGCAAATGACTCACCCACACCATGATTCATCCACTGCAATTTCAAAACAACCTGGAGGTTAAACACTGAAGCATTTCAGAATACGAGTCCAAGGGATTGGAGTGAAAGTTTAGTGTTTCCACTGAGCTCACTGCTGCCACCTTTCCCTTCACTGAGCTCCTCTTGACTCATGCCTTCACTGAGACCATCTGTACAAAATATTTCCTACTGGTTTAACCTCTGGACAGTTCATATAGAGCTCACTTTGCTCTATAATTTCAACTAATGCAAAGGTTCCAGCATTTTTTTCTGTTATCAGCGGCAATTAAAATATGTTTGTGACTCTAGTCTACTAAACAAAACTTAAATCATTTGTGTTATTTCTGAGACAAAATACAATTCTGCAATTCTAAGAAAACAAGGAACTTCCATGTATCTCCTCATAAATATCCTCTTTTTTTTCCAAATATCTTCCAGTTGCTCTACAGTTTTAAGACCACCTGCACCTATTACAAGGCCTTAGCTGAAATTTAATCAGTAATTTGAGGAGAAGGCTGTAAGAAAGCACGCAAGACAACAATCACTCTTGTGTATCCTTGGCATGGAGATTTATAGCTGTGATATTCCTTCTGGGTCTTGAACACATGAATGCTGCCTCAGAAGACCAGAGTATACTAAACTGCCAGGCAATAGGTGATCTATTAACACACTTCACATTACAGTGCTTTCTTGGGTTGGCTCTTTAGAGAAGCGTATTAGGGTTGCACACAGCTCAGCAGAAAGCAGCCAATCAAACAGAATGCACTCACCCCTCCATTTTTCAACCTCTTCATCAAATTTAGGGCTATGAGGGGGCCAAAACCCAATCCCAGAAAGCAACGGGCACAAGACGGGGTACAACCTGGATGGGGTGCAGACACACCTGCACCTGGACCAGTATTTCTGGTACCCGTAGGTACCAACAGGACTGTGGGAGGAAACCAGAGCACCAGGAGGAAACCCATGCAAACAAAGGAAGAAGATTCCAACTCCACGCAGATTACACCCCAGGGATTGAACCCTGGAGCCCAGAGGTGCCAGGAGGCAATGCTAACTACTGCGCTGCCACGCCACCCTCAAACAGAACATGCAATGCAAACACCAGCGCAGGAAGAGTGGAAAACATCTCCAGCTGCTCTCCTCCCGTATAACCCCACAGAGAGGGTGCCTGGCACTGTGCATTACAGCCCGAAGAATTACGGTCCTGTAGCTCGGCAGACGGGTGCTCACTACCTTGCTGTGAATGAAAGACCAGTGCACATGCACTGGGAGTGTAAAGGCGGTGGAGTGCCGGAGCTGGTGTCCCCCTGGGCCCTGCGGCTCACCGTGCCTCTGCGGAGCGCAAACTGGATGGAGTCCAGGTCCGTCACGGGGCACCACACCTCGGCGATCAGACACTTCTGGGTGACGTCGATGTTGCACAGGTTGAGGGTGTGGTAGATGGCCTTCATCTTGCGCACCTTGATGAACCACACCCTCACCGTCTTGGCGGCCGCCTGCAGGACCCTCTGCCGGTGGTCCTCCGTCTGGTTCAGGACCTGCGGGGCATGGGGAGAAGGAGCGGATCACATCTTCCTCCCCCCCACTTCCCCTTCATCCACTTTCCAGATCCCCCTGCCCTCCAGTGCACACTGCTACAGGATCAGCGTTCACATTCACAAAGCAGACCGCAGTTTCTGTTCCGTCAATCCCCCAGACTGCAGAAACATCTTTCACTTTCTGTCCCCAAACACTTGATACTGTTGCTTTCATGTTTAGCTCTAGCTGGTATGTAAATGGATGAAAAAGCTATAAAAGTTCAAATATCTTTAGTGGGAAATCAAGCCTCTTAATGCCACACTAATGACAGCTCGAGCACAGCACTGTAGAATTAATTAAGGGGCATACGTTTTTAATGGTCATTACTACACTTAATAAATAAGAAAATAACAGTTTCTGTTAAAGATTGCAAACACGTATGCTTGAAACTGTAAATACTGCGATTCGTCTGAGGGGATGCTCTATTACAGCTGAGCTGCATGAGTAGCATGACTCCAGTCCTTCACTACAGCGGGCTGCGACACGGGCCAGCACTGTGTGTGACTCACTGAGACTCATTCCTCAGGATCAGCAAATGTGAACCCCCCCCCCCAGCACCCCTAACCCATGCACAGCCCACGCAACCGCGCTCACGCCAGGGGAGCAGGGCGTTCTGGGTAAAATAAACTCGCCTTCTGACACGCCAAGCAGCAACCGAAAGCGGGCGAGGGGTTGTAACTGATCCAGGTGACTGAAGGCAGCTGGCGGACCGAGGACAGGCCGCTGGGAGTGAGTCAGTGGTGTGGGGGCGCTGCCCACCGGCGTGAGGCAGGGGAGAGACATGCCAGCCGCGCTAGAGTGGGCGATCACAGTCACCGAGGGAGGGGGAGGGAGTCGGTGGGAGCTCAGAGCAGCTATGTGGGTGGGTCAGCCCCGGGGAGAAGAGAGAGATTAAAGAGCCGGTTTTCCTTCCCCGATAAGGACAGCGTTTTCACTTCCCAGAAGAAATATTGTGATCCAGGTAATGCAAAATCTTAAGCGGAGACCTTTGGATCACTTAATAACGCCAAACACAGCTGCACCGCCTTGAACGAACCATTCAAGTCGTACACCTTTGCTGTTGTTGCATTTGTTGTGCTACGCCTTCACATTTTATATTAATAATTTCTGTCTTTTATGTACCCATAACAGCATGCTTCCAGTACAGCGCCACACTTCACCACAGTAAACACTATGACGGGAGAATCACGTTTCTTTTAGAAGCATTTACAGCTGTGAATTTAATACCATAACCTTAGGTACAGCATCACAGTGTGTTGACAGGTAAATACAAAAATGTGGAAAATTAAAGTCAACATTTTTCAAAGGAGGCTAACAAATTCTATTAGAGCTTATTTTGTATAGCTTTAATTTCCTTCACAAGCTTAAGGAATACACTGCTGCTGGCTGAGGCTCAACACGGCACTGTTTAGCGGATGGGGGGGGGGGGGGGGGGGGGGGTCTCAATATTTTCGGCAGTGGCCAAAATATTGTGCATGAAGTTTTTTTGTGAAGCTATTTCTCACTGCACGGTACCTCGAGAAGGCCTTAGACACTGAAGAAACACAGTCTCCAGGAGCCCCTTTCACTTGTGCTGCAAAACGCAAGGGCACACATTGCAGGAAGTAAAATTATGCAGAAAAGAGGATGGAATTAACAGTTGTCTTCACCCTCCCTGCTGAGGTTCGTTAACAATAGGCCTGACTCACTGACCAGAAGCGTGCCCCTCCCTGTCGCTGCATAGCGCAGATGTTGGATGTAGATAAAGTTATCTGCCTTCCCATACGGCTTTGCTAGAGGCGACTTCAGTGAGTGCTTTGGCAGGGGGCTTACATAATGACAAAGGGGAAAATGATTTTTAGCACTGAGGCCCAGCAACAGGTGCCTTCAACAATGTTCGCTTCTCAAAACTGGAGTTTCCGGCTCTTTCTGCAGAGCGCTGGACAGCAAAGGAGGAGGAGGTGTTGTTGGGGGGACAGTTCTTAACATTTCCACTTTTGAAAGCTTTTGGAAAAACACAACTCCCAAATTGTCTGATTTGGTCTTAAGGAAAATGCCAGTTTCCGGGGGATGATCAGAACGCGAAGAGAAATCAGGGAAATGGACAGAGCTTGAATACTGTGGCTAGAATGAATCATCTGGAAAGCGAGCTTCCAGAAAGAACGATGGAGAAAGTGAGAGTCCAGAATGAATTACCTAGCAAGTGAGCGTCTAGAACGGACAACCCCTGCAGGCACGAGTGAAGTGCAGTGACTTATTACAACAGGAAAAAAACAGAAAAGATCTCTCAGGGTGGATAAAAGGCATAAACTGAATTGTTGGGGAAATGGACTGAAGTTGTGAAATGAACATACAAACCACAAATGAACAGCCCAACGACACAGCCCCCTGCAAGCAGACTGCAAAACTGCTGAGCCTGGCTTGTCACAAAACATGAGGTCACAAACCACGGAGGCTGACAGACCGGCAGAATCGCAGGAGATCTGTCATCTGTGCAAACTGACTGTGCCGCCCGCAGCTCCCACAAAGCACGGCCTCGTTTAGGATGTTTGGCCGCCGTGTGATAAAAAAAACAACAATACTGCTGCTCTGCGTCTGGCCCAAAGAACCAGATACATTCTGGGGCTTCAGGGAATGTCCTGCACTCACAGACTGGAAGGACTGGATCTTCTTAGTCTCGAAAGGAAAAGACTACGAGGGGACCCGATACAAGCATTCAAAATCCACAAAGGCCCTGACAGCATCAACCCATCAAAATTTCTTCAGGATGAACAGTGAAACACGAAGCAGAGGGCACAAGCAGGAGGTGTGTTTAAAAACTGAAAACAGGAGACATGTGTTTACCCAAGAGGCTGTGTGAGGCTGGAACAAGCTACCCAGACGTATTGTGGAAGCCTAGTTTCTATCAAGAAAGGACTGGATGAGATCCTCATTTTGCAGAACTCCTTCTGCATGCTGACATTGGCTTAGAAAGGGCAGGTCTCACACACATGATTAGCGACACACTATTAGCGATTACTGCGTTTTCCAAGAGCTGCCGTGTTTCCAGAACCAGTTACTGGAGAAGTGGATTCCTCGATCCTTGAGGACCAGGGCTTTCCTCCCACTTCCGTACCATCTGAAGATCGTCGATCCGGGTGTTGACCCCGGCGGCCATCTCCTTTCTCTCCTGCGGCGTCTCGGGACAGGGGTACAGGGACGCCCGGAATCTGAAACACAGCGATCAGCACAGCTAGCGCAAAGCAAAACCATGACTTTTTATGAAGAAAGTATCGAGAGAGATTATTTAGGTGGTTATTTTGGTTACAGTCACCTTGCCTGGAATAGCCAGTGGGGTTTTTTCTTCTGTTGGCTTGCAGCGGTGCTCAGGGGAGCCTGAGATCCCCTTCACCACTGAGTTACTGCATCATAGTCAACGAGAGCCTCATGCTGGAAATTCAGCACTTGACTGGAAAACTGTCTTTTCACTAGAGCCCAGGAGCCTGTAGTGGGCGCTGTGCCGCTCTGAGCCAGAAGACTAATCTCACCCCACACTCGGCAGTACACATTTTGGGGAATTCCAGTCACAGTCGGCTAGTGACACAACCCAGACTCGAACCCCTGACCGCAGAGCTCAACCACTGCTCAGGCGGACTCCTTCGCTGAGTAAGCAAAGCGAGTTTAAACCTCGTGAGTTTTTAAAACATGTTGTTTTGTATAAGCAAACGAACCTCAAGTCTTTGACTTGGGCTGAAAGCATATCAGTTAAATGGGATAACTTTCAGTTCGCCAGATTTTTCTAAATTAAACGGATTTGTCAAATAAACAAGGCACAATCTCTTAGATTAGAAGAAACAGCAGAGGCTAATTGGGGCACATTTTCTGAAGGCATTTGGTCTGCAGGAGTCTTAACCCTTGCCTTTCTGACGATGGAAATAAATAAGCCAATGCGGTTTGGAAGACTGCTCTCAAGATAACTGCACTTTACTCTATAAAGCAAGCCCTCTGTTTTAGAAAAGAAATAACTCAGGAATCCAAAAGAGATGGTCTTGGCCTGCTTTTGCACTGACCCTTCACAAATCTTCTTGACCCGGTTTTTCAGCTGGTCACCTTGAAAGAAGATGATGAACACGGACTTGTGCACCTGGTCTCCCTGTGGGAAGAGAAGGGTGGCACAGTGTTAAAAAGGTGGAACCGAATTCACCCACATTTATTGATCCCAACTCAGTCAATTTCAAATGTTACACTTTTTCTACAGGTTAATGCAGTAACACCAAGTCTCCAAGGAAAACTATTTTTTAACAATCTGAAAACGCACCTCTGTGACCAAAAAATTGTTTTTAAAAAACAATTCCACAGCTACATATCAAGGGGTAGATGTAGGTGATAATTGTAGGCATGCAAATACTTTTTTGTGCTTGTCCACGTGATGGAATGCCCTTCTCATTCCTGGGAATGATATCTGTCATCTAATCATGCTCTCTGAACTGCATTTGACAGTCAGAATCAACCGTATTTTCAAAGAGACAAGAGAGAAACCAAAACAAGCTACAAAAATAAAACAAGAAAAGGATCAAAACAGCAGTATAGCTGAAAGGTATTGATATATAAAGGTATAAAACCACACTGTGCATTTTATAAACATTCAACAGTGGAAATCACCTTCTGAGACCATATCTGTTTTTCACACCCGCTGACAACAAAGGTGTCAACAGAAATTGCTGAAATGTGTTTTCGGCTGCAAGCATTTCCTGCAAAGCAAAAGCTCACATTGTCTGAGAAAGAGGAAGTCTCCAGGACTGTTCACCTGCCGACTGGGAACGTGAGCTGGGTTAAGGCTGACGTGAGACAGGTTGGACACGCATTGTGGGCACAGTAATCTGGCCCAGTAGGAGAGGAACTGCAGGTTCGGACACGGGCTATCTTGGTTTGCCCGAGGAGCCAGGGGTACAATTCTGTGGCCCCTCAGTCACAATCCCCCCCGAATGTGGCCCGTCAAGAAAGACCAGGACTGCTGCCA